CTGCAGCGAAGCTATCATAAGGGCTATTTATTTTACGAAAAAAATGTTTTAGAAAGGGTTCAGCTGTTGTGGAAAACCTCTACTAAAATGAGCAATGTAAGGCCGTTTCAGGTGGATACCGTTCAAGATCCAAACGAGCTTTGGCTGTTTGGGAGGTGGACAACAGGAGCATTTGTTCATGGAGGGATCGTTGGCCACGTTCAAAGCATGTTCCTACGCGTGGCAAACCAGGACCTACTGCACAGCACAAAGTACGTCGGACCTTTTGGCATGAGATGCTTGGGAAATCTCTGTCTTCGGGCAAGAAGCGAGTTGCCCCCTCTTTAGGTTCCCAAGCATCTCGGTGTGCCAGACATGCTATACTTGTCAAGCCACCGCAAGGACATGGTAAAACATGCATGACCAAAAAACCACATGTCACTTACCAGATCCTGTCGATCTCACCCTTGGACAACTGCCTTCCTATGTGAAGCCCTCCGCTGCAGGACCAATTTGCATTGTTCAGCACTCACCATCCTGGTGAACTGCCCGACAGGTGAGCATGTTGATAGCCATAACAATGCTTCATGCCCAAACCTTGTCTGGTATTTTGCGGACGGACCTCAAGTAGGAGGAATCCGCTTCCAAAATGGAGATCTTCCTCTTCCTTCAGATGCCTGGGCTTCTTTTTGGCCTCGTGTACGCCACCGTAGCTGCTCAAGTGGCGGCAACCAGATCCTGCTTGTCGGATATACTCCTCGCAATCTTGAACGCATGACTCCAGAAAATTTAACGGAGTTAGCCGGGCTGGGTTTTGCCCTGCCAGCCCTGGCTGAGTCATCAGGGTCCCCAAAAGAGTTGTTGGCTTTGAAGGGTAAGAGCAAGATCCAGCGTACTATGGCAGGCCCCGAGGACAACCCTTTTCCGTCACAGCAAAACAGACAACATGTCTGAGAGGTATGAATCTCGAAAGCTTCAAAAGCAACGTGATGATTATGTGCAATGCGAAGGTACCTGCACAAGACTTGAGGGTCATGGCTGCAGTCCATACGCTACAACACTCCCCCTAGTCCAAAAGGGATTTTGGGCTACCTCTGCAGCCCCACTTGAGCTATTTGACTTCACTTCGGAAGTACAACGCTACGCAAAACGGTTCCTGGTACCTGAGCGATTGTACCTTTATCAGTATCAGGTTAAACACTACGTTGACCATAGTCCAGAAGGGAAAGGAGTAAATCCAGGCCAGACTTGAAAAGTTGCATCAGCAGATCCTGAAAGTCCAAAACTGAGGACTACCCATCAGGAGATGGATGGGCTGAGGGAGGACGAATGCACAAGAAATCCAGAAACGACCCTACACCGACTCCGAACCCAATGGTGCGCACCCTCTAGCCTATCTATCCCCTACTCACACTTGCCCGCCGATCCGGGGCTGGCAGGCAATGACAGCAAGGAGCGATCCAAATACTCTCTCCCTGTTCACTTCCACAGCGGCGTATGGAGTGATACATAACAAACCCTCAGGCCTCCTCAGAATCAGCGCCCATCTTTTGCCACGTGCGTGTAGAAGCATCGCCAGCAGCCTGTCTCGTTGGCAACGGGGTGAAAGTCAAAGAGAGCTGAACGCAAAGCCATAGCTGTCTCAGCTGCGGCATCTCTTCAGCAAAAGCTGTGCCACCCCCCTAAGGCTTGGGTTTGGCCCCGGGAGGCTAAAAGAAAGCTGAATGATACACAAGCACGGGCTCTTCATCATGAAAAGCGGCTTCCAGGGTTTACACACGTCACGACTTCTACAAACCCTCAGGCCTCCTCAGAATCAGCGCCCATCTTTTGCCACGTGCGTGTAGAAGCATCGCCAGCAGCCTGTCTCGTTGGCAACGGGGTGAAAGTCAAAGAGAGCTGAACGCAAAGCCATAGNNTAGCTGTCTCAGCTGCGGCATCTCTTCAGCAAAAGCTGCGCCACCCCATTCCGGTCCCCTGAGTGGTGAGCTCACCGTCATCGCAGCGCTTGCAGAAGCCTTGTCGGCAACGTCTGAGATCGGCGACGGATGGCCGGGAGGCGATCCGAAGCCGCCTGGCCCCACCTGGTGAGAAGCAGCGCATGTTTCTCATAGCGGGAAACGGACTTGCGAGCCTCCCATCTCCCTCGTTTCTGAATCTCCAGCGACGAACGTCTTTTGTGACAAGCGTCATTGGAGGCTCCAGAATGCCGCAGTATATGTGGCATCACACACTTGGTCCTGTAGCGAAGCTTGGCAGCCGCCTGCTTGAACCAGGTTTCGTACTTGACAGCCGCGGGAAAAGCTTGCCTGGATGGCGTTGCACGTACAGGTCCATCGCCTTGCTGAGCCATGCCCTGTCAGACTTGTCTGCCACTAGGACCGAGTCGTCGCACTTGCCAGTTTTGGTTGTTGAACCCAGCTGGAAGGGCGCGACCACGATGGACCATTTGTTTTAACGACCGCCAGCCGGAAAGCCAAGGTGCTCGTGCCCCAATTCAAGGCATTCGGAAGGTCTCAGGCAGGTGTCGTACTGGAGAATCATGCCAAAGGCGATGTCCGCGCGGTCGTCGTCCAAGGCCTGGTGCGCAAAGTCGAAGATGAACACAGCCTCACGCCGCCGGGCGCCAGCTTCCGCCAGCCTGCCAGAGCCTCCTTTGAGAGCGGAAGGAACTCCACTTTTGGTTTGGTGCGCCTGAGAAGTTGAAGGCCAAACACCAAGTAGGCTCCGGTCGAAGGCTGAACCATATCCTCTAAGGCGAGCTGGGTCATGTAGCGCACGACCACCTTGTCCAGGTTGTTAGCATTGACTCGGTGATTGTGCTCGCGAGCCCAGGCCTCATACTCTTGGATGTGTTTGTGGTAGCTGTTGAGGGTGCGCTGAGTAACCTTGAGGGTTCGCAATCGCAAGTGAACTGGTAGAGGTGAACCGTCTGGCTGAGTTCGTGGCCTGCTCTTAGCCTTTGGTTTAGCGACAGTGTCGTCCATGTTAAAGCCGGAAGTAGCCTGTGAGCTCAGCGATGTCGTTGGCCGTGAAGTGCCCGAAGACGACCGGATGGGAACGGATGTACTTGCGGGCGTCCGTGAGGAAGAGCTCGACGTCGTCCGTACAGCCGTCACCTGCTTGAAGAGTGCCTCCGGCAGCCGCAGCAGGTCGTCTGTCAGTTCGGGTCGCCGCCGCTTCGAGGCCATTCAGGAACTTGACCGTGTCACTTATGGTGGCCTGTCCATGTGCTTCGGGGGGGCTGCACTCCTTGAGGATCTGTGCCCAAGCATCACAAAGCACATGAGGATAAGCTCCTGCTCCGGCAGTGCGTT